TGAAGTTTGCAATCTCGAAAAGCCTCTTTATCCTTTCAAAGAACACTCTATAGATCTTCTGTATGGGGGATGCAGAGTCCTTTTTTCCCTGAGCTAGCTACATATTTGGATAGAAGGGGAGGGTTTAAAGTGTAAGGTTTTGTGATGATTACATTTTTCATTACCTATAAATCATACCTTTTTTACTTTGGTTTCTTTCATCCCAGAACTAAAAAACAGGCTTCTGAAATAAGAACTATTCAAAGCCAACCAAAAGCTGTGTACATACAGCTGGTGTTCCCGGATCACTGTGTCAGCTAGTGTCAAATCCTCTTCACTTGTTCTCATGACACCGTTATCTGTTGACCGGGACGAACAAAACGCTGAGGCCCCGTCCTCCAAAGAATTCATAGCAGTAAGACCTATAGCTCCAGCTTTATGAGCATAGCGAATGTCTGCAATAAGTAACTTGCTGAAAGTGACGTCTAAATCCACTTCTGATGAGGTGCCAACCGGCAGGTGCTTGCAAGCACTAACTGAATTCATCATAGTCTCAGATTCTTGTTCCTGGTCTTCGACGACTATCCAAGATTCTTCTCTCTTTTTACTCTTGATAGTTCTTTTGGCCTCAGAAGATGAAGCATCGCCTATCCCCGAATCGCAGCTCAGGCTACTGACAGTTCTAGAGTCTGAAATCGAAGGCAAGTTAAACGAATCGTCCGCAGCCGTGGTAGCTGATTCGTCAGCATTGAAGTTTTGCTCATCTGTACTGACAGTGGATTCATTTTCCTCGTTCTCATCTGGTTTTTCTTGCTGGTTGTTGCTTGGTGTGGAGATTGTATCATCATTTCCTCCTTGTGAGTTGGTTTTCGTGATGCTTCGAACCCGGCGTGCGGCTTCCAACTTTTCCCAGCCATCCTTTCGAATCTTCACGACCAAAATGCGGTCAGACATCTCGGGATTGTTAAAATGGTCTCCGATTTTGTCAAAAAGCTTTTCCATAATCACTAATCTCGTTTTCCACACATTAGACGCCACGCAACAAGTATTATTTGACCACAAACTCTAACACCGACGCGTTTGTAAAATTTCTTAACACAAATAATAAACAAAAGAGCATACCGCTGACCAGTAAATATGAGACGCTATGTCAGCGGCTACGCGAAGTAAAGTATGAGCACAAATCCGTTGAGTCATATTGATAAAAGACGAGAGAAAATCGATAAAAGGTAAAAATTTTATCAGTCTTTGCTTGTCAGAATGGTTCTGGAATCTACAGTTGTATGGTAAGATTCTAACAGTTTTCCCCCGTGATCGTCGATTCTTGAATGAAGTTGGTTTTATATTGAAAATATTTGGTGTTTTTCGTAGCGTTGATAACAGCGAATGGATGAGGAATGGCGATTTCCTTCCAACGAGGTTACAGGCACAACAAGATGCCGTCAGCTTAGTTTGTCACTCGAAAACTAGACAAAACCCAGAAAATAATGTTGGTTTAATGACTCTAGCAAGGTGGGTACGTGAGGCATTGATGCCGGACGATTCACATTCAAATTAATTAATTAACAGTTTTCAAACTCTTACATCTACATTTGGTTGACCATTTTAACTTTGCAGTCACAGCAGGGTGAATCATATTGTCGTTCCCAGAGGCTGTGGTCCCTTTGGTCAGCACCAAGAAGCGCACTCTCTGGGGGTCCAAGACCAGAATTCTACGATTCTTGGACTCCCACCAAATCTGACAAATCTGATTGGCTGAGTCCACAAAACTCATACTCTGAACATGCTCAACAAGTGGGGTCCGGCCTGAGGTTGCAATTTTTGGTGCAAATCTATCAATAAACAGCATAATATCTCTTTGCGATAGGCTTAAAGTCATCACTAGTGATCAGTGCTTTTCTACAATCATTGATGCTTGTAAGCTGTAAACAAGACAAACACCATGGGGATAAGTACCATCAGTTCATCTAAAAAGAATTCCAGAGGTGGTTGGGTTACAGAGAATAGATTCAGTAAGGTAGCTGAAGACCAACACTGGAGGCATTCAACCAAAAATTCTGGTTTAGATTTCCAAAGATAAGATTTTCTGGATCTCAAAGTGGACAATCTTGCATGGTGTATGTGTACAAAGGGTTTCTAACAAACAGTGTTAGTCTAAAGATGAAACCCTAGCCTGTGTCCATTCAAATGACGGCTATTGTGCAGTACTTTCTTGTTCTAAAGTTTGTTTTTCACTATTTTCTGAAGTGAACTGAATAACCTACTCCTTCTGTTTCCAGTCTTGAGGTACTAGTCACGTTAACAACAGATGTTGGTAAAATCCTGGCTTCTCTGCACAGAGTCCAATCAAAAGGAGACATAA